ATGAGGCCCACCACCGTGGTGTCGTCCGCAAACTTCACGATGTGATTGGTGGTGAACCTGGGGACGCAGTCATATGTCATCAGGGTGAACAGCAGGGGGCTCAGGACGCAGCCCTGAGGGGAGCCCGTGCTGAGGGTGATGACATCAGAGGTGTTCTGACCGACCCGGACTGACTGAGGTCTGTTGGTGAGGAAGTCCAGCAGCCAGTTTCGAAGGGGTGTGTTGAAGCCCAGATGTTCCAGCTTTCCCACCAGGTGCTGTGGGATGATGGTGTTAAACGCTGAACTGAAGTCCAGGAACAGCATCCGCACGTGGGTGTTCTTCTCCTCCAGGTGGGCCAGGCTCAGGTGAAGAGCAGAGGAGATGGCGTCCTCAGTGGAGCGGTTTCGCCGGTAGGCAAACTGGAACGGGTCGAGTGTTGGGGGGAGACTGGAGACGATGTGTTCCTTTACCAGCCTTTCAAAGCACTTCATCATGATGGGAGTCAGTGCGACGGGCCGGTAGTCGTTGTAGCAGGTGACTTGAGGTTTCTTTGGCACTGGGATGATGGAGGCAGACTTGAAGCATGCTGGCACTGTGGCTTGCTCCAGCGAGGTGTTAAAAATGTCCGTGAGGACACCAGCTAGCTGACCTGCACACTCCTTGAGCACCCGCCCAGGTATGTTGTCGGGACCTGGGGCCTTCCGCGGGTTGACCCTCCTCAGAGTCTTCCACACGTCGGCTGTGTCAAGGCAGAGAACCTCCTCTTCCTGATGTGGGACAGCCTTCACTGCTGGAGTGCGATTTAGTGCCTCAAACCTCCCAAAGAAGTTATTTAGTCCGTTTAGGAAGTCAGCATCAACTTCATCCACCGGGGCAGGGGGCGTGTTGTAGTCTGTGATCGCCCGTATGCCTTGCCACATGCTCCTGGTGTTGTTGGCGTCGTGGAACAGATGGAACAGATTAGAGGTAAAAAAAATAAATTAATAAATAAATACATGGCGCTGTTTAGCACCAGGATGAAATACTTCATTAAGCTGATAAGTAAATCACCTCTTCATAAATTTTTCTCTCATCATTTGAAATTTGCTATGCAAATGGGGCAAAACTTGAGAAACAGAGTGAAGGTTGGGTTTGAATAGCAGAAGAATTTACCCTTTAGTTGTTTATTGAAGGTTATATTATCACTAGTTGCATCTACTTTTTTGTTTACAGATGAATTCTCCAGAATGTTACAGCTTTATAGTTTATTTAAAGTTTCCAGCACAAAAGGTTAACCTAGAGATAGCTGGCATTCTTGAGTTGAGAGTTAGCCATTGTCTTGAGCATCTTAAGTTCAAGGCATTAGGTTGTATGAATAGTGGTGGGAGCTGTCTGCAGACTGTGCAATGTGTCCCTTTTCCCTTCCTGTTTTTATTGAGTTTCAAAAACAGGAAGTCAACCTTATACTTTAAAAGAAATAATTTAGATTCAATATCCTGAGCATATATATATATATATATATATATATATATATATATATATATATATATATATATATATATATATATATATATATATATATATATATATATATATATATATATATATATATATATATATATATTTTTTTTTTTTTTTTTTTTTTTTTTTTTCTTTTTCTTTTTTTTGTTGTTGCTACAGTAAGGACTAATGGAGCTATCCATAATGACATCATGCACCTCACTAAGGCTCCCCTCTTTATTATTTATATATGATTGCAAATTATACATCTGGTTTACAAAAGTGCAAGAGAAATGAGCAACAATACCTGGTTCATTTTTTTAGATATCTACACTGAACAAAAATATCAACGCAACACTATTGGTTTAGCTCAATTTTTTAATAGATAAACTCAAAGATCTAAATCTTTTCTCACATACAGTGGGGACTGGTTGGAAATGGACGGTTTCCTGCGTGATTCCTGTGTGATTCCCACGTGAATCACGTTGTATTTCCTGAGGCCAGTTTTTTTATTTCAAAAAGAACTGCAATGTACCCGGACAACCACCAGGTGGCGCTTGGGACCTCTGCCGTGCTGAGGGTGACGTTTGTGGGCCTGCAGTCAACTGAAAAGCAGGTTTATTGGGGATCTTGGTGTGATACTGTGCTATTTTATTTTGTTTTTGATTAAAATAAAGTTAATGAATTAATTTAACATAAGATTATGCAGTCAAGTGACTGCATAATCTTATTTTATGAAAATGGTTGCGTAGTTGTAGATACACCTCCGATCTTATCTGAGAACTGTTATTTCTATTTATCTGCATCGCTATTATTTAATGAAAAATAAAATTAATTAAGTTGGAGCCGGGGATACGGACTGTAGCGCAACCAGAGAAAGGCGACAGAGACAGTGCTGCGGCTGGTGATGTTGAAATTAAAATCATATCCAAAGTTGATTCCTCATTAAGATAAGCCAAAGTTATTCAAAAGGGTATGTAAGAAAATATATTTTCTCTAGTTTTGTAAAATATAAGTGCCGTTGAAAGCTTTGTTTTTGTGTGTTACTTTCTTGCCGTGCAATACGTGACACCCCTCCCAGTCTGGTCAAGTAGCAGACTGGGAGGTATGTCACGTGTTGCGAACTTATAGTGCAGTGGTTAAGCTGAGTGGTGTGTAGACTAACAGCTTGAGGGTTCAATCCCAACTGTGGCCGAGTTGCCTTAAATGTTTTTTTTTTTTTTTTTTTTTTATAAAGCATCTTAATGCACCTTTTTCCTTCCTGTTTGCACCTCCAGTAACTTCTATGCCAATATGTGACGAGTGAATTTCTCCGCTGTGAGATCAATAAAGCTCATCTAATCACATCTACTCCAATCTAAATAAATAAATAAATATACACATGTTCAATAAATAAATAAGCATTCAATTAATTACCCCCAATAAATGGTGAAATGATATGTTCTCATAATAAATCATTTATTTAAAAAATGCTGTTATGTTCCTTTTTTTTTAATTCCTTTTAAAATGCTTAACTATTTTTATTCTTTTATTTTCTTTCAAAAAATCACTAGATTTTAAAAACACTCATAGGTTTTGAAAGGTATTATATATATATAGAAACTAAAACGCTCGGATCTTTCTGTCATTTTGTGTGCGTGTGAAGCATCTGCAATGTTTTCGTTAAATATTCAAATAAATAAGATGGACTTTAAACTAGCAGACACGTTTGGATTTTTGCCATTTAATTTTTTTATTTAATTTTAAAAACGAAAGAAATGGAAATGGGGTTTGACGAAAACCAGAAATATGGTCTGCCTGCATTCATGAACAACTTATGTTTGTGAGACCCCCTACCCCTCAGGACCCCCGCCTAATCAGTGCAAAAAATAACGACAAATGGCTTTAGCAGGTTATTCAGAGTTGACGCGGTACTTTGCAGACAACTTACTCTCTTGTTCTCTGACAATAGAATTCAACCACCACCATTTACAGAGACCCCCTCCCCCTCACAGCTCAACTTTGTGGTTTCAACACTGCAGCGAAAGTTTCCTGATATGGGGAAGAGTGACTTGAAGGACTGCATTGATAAGATCAACGAATTTCTCCGTACAACACGCAAATCATCCCAACGACTCTCAATGTAAACCTGTTCAGTATTCATCACAATAAACACATTTTCTCTCATGCTCTTTTCCCACTTTGTGTTGTTTTAAAATCTAATCTGAAATATAGAAATAGAAATTATAGAAACAAAATGTTTCACAGCAGTTTTTTCAGGAACAGAATCAGGTTTATTGACATTGTCAGAGAAGGAGTTCACAAACTAGGGATTTTTTTATGGTACAATCGTGCAAGATGACACATATAAGGGTAAATAGAATTATAAAAATATCTAAACACTGTGGCAATATATAAGCAATATCTATACCGTATATCTATGGGGTTCCATTTGTATCAAAAATAAAAAGAAGTCATATGTGCAGATGTGTCGTTGCTATGTGTCGTTGGTCTATGTCGTTGGTCTATGTTGCATGTATATGTAGATGTTGCATATGTGTATGTTGCATATGCGTTCGCTGCATATGTCTACGTTGCACATGCGTTCGCTGCATATGTGGTTGATGTTGTTGGTCCATGCTGTTGGTTCATGTCGTTGGTCCTTGTCGTTGGTCCTTGTCGTTGGTCCGTGTGGCTATTGCCTGTTCTCTTCGCCATTAAAAAGTCTTGAAGTAGGACATGTATGATCAATTTTTTCACTAGATATTACAAAAATGTTGGTCTTTCAATATCAGTGGTTTCAATAAATACTTTTTTCAAAATGCTTAGATTTCTACCTCGTATTTTCTTTAGGCATTAGTCAGGGCAGCTAAGAAGGTCGAGGGATCCTGGCCCCCTGAAGGGAGCGCTATTTCCCATAGATCCGCGGCCGGATTTTATTGTATTTTTTAATCTGCGACACATCTTCATTTCATTTTAAGAATGATTTTCACCCTTTGTATGTTTTTTAACTCCTCTCTCTTATTTTCTTCAGCGCAGCTCACAGTTTTTAAGCAAATTCTGTAGTTTCCGGCATTCTTCTAAATCTGCAACTAGGTCACATCTTTTTGGGCCTTCTACTGCCTCTAGTGGCGTGGTGGTGGTAACACAACTAATGTAATTATATTACTAAGTCAAAATGCCACAAAGTCTTTATTGTTTATTATTAATTCTGGCATTAGAATAATAATATTAATAATAATAATAAGTCTGTGCAAATTGAAATTCCTTGGAATCTTCTTTAAAACCCCAGATATATATGTTCAGCGAGTACCGTTATCTGTACAGCCAAAATGAAAACTATAAAACTCATGTGCTCTTTACATAAATTGAGCAAAAAATATTCCTCCTCCAGTCAACAATTCACTTATTCTATTGAAAACTGTGATGTTGAGTATATTTTGTCCTCATCTCTCATTAAAGGCCTCAATAACAACAACTTTTATGAAGAACATGTTTTATATTGTGAACACAATCTGATTAACAAACATAATTGAAACATACTTTCATAAAGACCTTTGTTCAACAAAAAAAAGTGCCAAAAATGCAGTTTTAAGTTAACAAAAAAGTCAGACAACAAAAACATTTTACAATCTGATTATAACAGTTTTAACATAATTCTTTCATCAATACCTTTTTGTTCAACAAAAAAAGTGAAACATGTGTATTTGGTCTCTCTCTTGCTGAGATACACAATCCAAGACTGGTGATTGGCCAATCTCCAAATATATTAAAAACTGGCACAAGTAAGACACTGCAACACAATGTTATTGTTCCATGTTGTTAGTAAAAAGGAAAAATAAATAACAAGACATAAACAAAGTTAAAACAAATGTGGTAGTGTGTGACGTGCCAACTGTAAAGCCTCTAAACAAATGTCCATTCCAAAACAATCACTGTCCCTCAGAGGGTCAATTCTTTCCTGAAGGAGCATGTGCACCTGTGTTCTGACATCCTCTGGTGTATCTGGAACCACTACAGTGTCTTCTCTGTTGAGCGGGGTTGGCCCTTCCCAGTCAACCCCATAAAGATCATCATCAATCTGTAAAAGACAATAACAACATTTAATAATGAAATTTAATAGGAGCAACACATGAAATACATTAAGAATAAGAATCCAAACCTGCTCACATGAAGGGTCAGGTATAGAAGTGTTTGCTACTAATTGACCCCTAATCCACAATTGTTGTGGTGATCTGCCTTGTTCTGTGGACAGTGAATGCCTATCCCAAGCCATAGAAAATAGCTCTAAATGCTGGTTTATTCTTGGGAGCATTATAAAATGAATGCAAGCCAAATCCACTTCATTATCCGGATTAAAATCTGCAGTATCAGCCAGATATTGCAGCGCATAGCGGTAGTTCACAGTGACAACACACCAAACATCTCTCCACATCCTCTCAATTCTTTGATTATGGACACTGCGTCCTGTTATAAAACTTCTTCTTTCTATGAAGAGAGAGAACAAGAATGCATAATCTGGATTAATGTTCAGAGACATGATGCAGTGTTACAGCATAAATAAAACTGGCATAATAATAAAGAAAATACCTGCTCCTCTTTCTGGATGTTGCAGCATATAACGAGCAACTTCTACATTTTCTCCTCCTTTGTCGCTTCTTACTCTGATTGGCAAGCCAAACTTTTGCACAGCAGTAATGAAGGCTTTTAGAACTGTGGATGCTCGGTTGTTATTGCTGGCAGTGAGGAACATTATCTTTCGACTATATCCATCAATGCCACCATGAATCACAATTCTCCACCTTTATATTGAAAGATATCTTAGATAAAGACTTAATATAAAACTGTTATGAAAAATATAGTTACATTGTCCATGAAGAGCTTACCGTATCAATTTGTGATTTCCGTCAATGTGCCAAAGTGCAAGTGGTGATGGTACAGAGTAAACTCTTCTATGTATTACAGCAATACCAAGTCCACGACAAATGGTGCCCACAGGATCCACCACCCTCATGGTTTCCATAACTCTGGATCTCTGCACTCTGCAAAAGACATTGAAATTTTTATTTAATACACCTTCATTGGAAAAAATGGGTATGCAATCATTCACACATTCATTAAAACACTTACCTTATTCCCACACTATTTAGATACCCCAAAACCGTTTTTATTCCAGAGTCTGGACACTCCTGAATAAAATTCTGGACAAGTTTTTGCAGATCTTCATCACTAATGTTGCTGTAGCTCATTCTCACAGAGAGATTGCTCTCAGCCATTCTTCTTCGTATAGTGCTGTAGCTCACACCGAGCAGTTTTCCTATTTCACGAACAGTGAAATTGTACTCTAAAAGGAACTTCAGTTGCTCTTCCGAAATATCCCAAGATGGCCGTCCTCTTCCCCCAGATCTGATCAATGGAGGCATAAATCCACCTGTGTGGTTATTTTTTTCACCTACTAAGCACAGCACTCTCTGTATACTTTCCAAAATGTCATCAATGTTAATGAAGACTCCAGTCTGTTGAGCTCTTAATAAGATGCTGTAGATCTCTTCATAGCGTTGTTCAAGAAAATCCAAGTCAAATTGTGATGCATTGGCCTCAAAATTATCTGACAGTCGTTGGCACTGAGTGTATAAATAGTGCATCAGTTGATGGCTGCGCTGGTCGTCATCAGAACTAAGATGAGAAAGCATTGTTGTTCTTTATTTTTTATCATTCCACATAAATCAAGTATCATAGCAATGAAGAATGATTATTTAAAAAGTGGTATTAAAAGTATAAACAACTTATAAAAAGCAAGTAATGGAATATTTATCTCATACTGTGTCATATCTGATCATTTGTCAACCTTGAATCCAAATAAAACCAAAAATAAATTTTTGTACTTTCAAACACATTTGAATTTTAACATTGATTATCAATTGCACACAAGATAAAAAAAAAAAACAGAATATTGAAGACCCCTTGACAACGACTGTTAAATCAAACTGTGAATAAATTTAATTTAAGAATATTACACTCACTTATAGAGATGCATACAAATAAGTAGCATAACTTTCTTTTTTAAAGTTAGGGTCCCCGACTGGAACATGGTGAGCTAAATGGTAAATTTAACAATGCTTGGGGCAGACAATTTGCCCCATAAATTTTAAAAATGTAGATACTCTAATCATTTCAGGAATCATTTAAGCTATACTTAATAAATGCTCTAAAGTAAACTAAAGTGAAGTCTAATGTTGCATTTTTAATCTCTTTTGTAGATTTTCCTGTCTTCACTCAATTGGTTTTGCAATAACAGCATTCATAAGAGTACATTAGAGAAATTAGAGAACCACTATTCAATACATTACATTTACCCAGGAAGAACAAAAAACTAAGTTCTCTTACAAATCGTTGATAAATGTATCGTAGTCAAAATTAGTACAAATTATTACAAATTTCCAATTCCTCCTAAATATCAAAAAATACATTTTAAAATAATAAATACCACATAGCGTTCAAATGAGTTCTTGAGAGATTTAAGCTTAATGTTGAGAAATTTGTTCTTTGTACAACTCAATTGGAATTATCTTATCACTTGTTTTATGAAAAGAAGTATCAGACTTATGGGATCAACTTTGTAACTTTCTGTCTTCTAAAACAATAAATGTATTTTTTTTTCCTTACAAAACATTCATTTTGGATAATACATTAAAAATATATAGAATTTTTAGTTAACATCCTGATTATTTAAACCAAATATTCTATCCATAAATGTTTATATATGAAATGCTCCCTCTCATTCACTGCTCTATAAAGTCTTATTAAAAGATGTCTTTAAAAAATGAAGAATTAAACGCATTAAAATTGTATGAGTTAATGGAAAGTTTTTAATTATTAGCCCAATAACATGTTTCTTATTAATTTAACTATTTTATTGTAATATTTAATTACTTTTCTTTGTGTTATTTATATTTATTAATTCTTCTTTAATAATTTCAGTCTTTTATTGAGCCTTTATAACAAGATTGATTTCTAAACAGTAGGAGCAGTGATTTTTTTGTTTATGTTTTTGACATGTGAGTTTGTCATTGTCATTCTTGTAGTCAAACAGCATCGATTTACCTAACCACTCTCATGCTTCACCCAAATGACGGTACTTAGTCGATCTCAACTAATAGCTTACCTTTGCTCTTCAGACACCCATTAATGCATAATTTAAGTTTCTATTTGTTTTACCAGTATATCATAAAATAAATAAATAAATATTATGAATATAATTACCACGTTGCCATCTTGAAGCAGCACCAGTTTTTGTCGTAGTAGTAGTTTTCGTCTTCTTCTTGTACTTTTTAGTTGGTGTTTTAAAGCCACTTTCTGTGCATTATCTCCACCTATTGGTGAAATTGACATTCTAAGGCCCCTACTAACGAGTCATCCAAAGATTCATCACAAAACAATGAGTTTGATTTTGATTAGACTCTTCGTATATTTAATACACAAAAACACTATATATATATATATATATATATATATATATATATATATATATATATAAACAGCCCCCTGTTCACTTCCTGTTTGGATTAACTGAGTGTGCAGCTGTTGTCCTCTCTGACCACTTTCTAATAACCTTCAGGATTACTTTAACAGAGTTCTCCTCCCCCAAAAGAAGGTTACATTTTAGTAGATCTTTATCAGATAGTGCAGTTATACATTTTAAAGAATCTGCTTCACTTTCTCTCTCCTCTGTGTCGCTGAGCAGTGCTGCAGAGTGCAAAAGCTTAGCTTATTCCCCTTCACAGGTTGATGATTTTGTTGACGGGGTTGCTAGTTCTCTGCGTACTGCCTCAGACAACGCAGCTCCTTTCAAAATGAAAACCATTAAAAATAGAAAGCTTGCTCCTTAGTTTAATGCAGAGCTGCGTACTTTGAAGCAAAATGCTAGGAAACTGGAGAGAAAATATCGCTCGTCAGGCCTGCGGGAGTCCTTCCTAGTCTGGAAAAATGGTTTACTGCTGTATAAGAGGACCCTTTGTAAAGCGAAAGCAGCATACTTCTCCTCATTAATAGAGGAGAATAAGAATAATCCTAGATTTCTTTATAATACAGTTGCTAAACTCACCCAGAGCCATAGCTCTGTTGAACCGTCCATTCCACCTGCTCTTAGCAGCAATGATTTTATGGGATTCTTTATAAATAAGATTGATCTTATTAAAAATAAGATCATAAGCACTCCTCTATCCGCGATTGTACCTGAGGTAGTCATGGAATCTAAACCGGGTTTAGACGGCTTTGATCCAGTTGAACTTTCTGAATTAGCAAAATTATTGTCTTCATCTAAGCCTTCAACTTGTATGTTAGATCCAGTTCCAACCAGGTTATTTAAGGAGGTATTCCCTTTGATCTCCTCCTCCATTTTAGATGTGATTAATCTATCTCTGTTACAGGGATATGTACCTAAAGCTTTTAAGGTTGCTGTAATTAAAACTCTGCTTAAGAAACCGTCTCTTGACCCAGATGACTTGGTCAATTATAGACCTATATTGAATCTTCCTTTCTTATCCAAAATTCTTGAGAAAGTAGTTGCCAAACAAGTTTGCGATCACTTACACCATAATGAACTTTTTGAAGAGTTTCAGTCTGGCTTTAGAGCTCATCATAGCACTGAAACAGCTCTGGTGAGAGTCACTAATGATATTCTCATGGCCTCAGATAATGGACTTGTATCTGTGCTCGTCCTGTTGGATCTTAGTGCTGCATTTGATACAGTTGACCATAATATTCTTTTAGAAAGACTTGAATATTTTGTTGGAATTAAAGGAACAGCTCTAGACTGGTTTAAATCTTATCTATCTGATCGAATTCAGTTTGTTCATGTTAACGATAGATCTTCAACATGCTCAAAGGTTACCTGTGGAGAACCACAGGGATCAGTGCTAGGACCAATTCTCTTTACTTTGACAGCATGGGATTAATTTTCACTGTTATGCTGATGATACCCAGCTATATCTGTCTATAAATCCAGATGAAGCTAACCCATTACATAGATTACAGGCATGTCTGAAGACATAAAAACCTGGATGACTCTTAACTTTCTGCTTCTGAATGCAGACAAAACAGAAGTTATAGTCTTTGGACCAGAGTCTCTGAAAAAGAAGCTGATTAGTCAGTCACTTCATTTGGATGGGATTAAACTGATTTCAGATAATAAAGTAAAAAATCTTGGTGTTATTTTTGATCAGGACCTGTCATTTAAATCCCATATCAAAGAGGTTTCTAGAATTTCCTTCTTTCATCTGAGGAACATTGCAAAAATGAGAAATCTCCTGTCCAGGGGTGATGCTGAGAAACTAGTCCATGCATTTGTTACTTCAAGGCTGGACTATTGTAATTCTTTACTATCAGGAAGTCCACAAACTGTAGTTAAAAGCCTTCAGCTGATCCAAAATGCTGCAGCCAGAGTTCTGATGAAAATTAAAAAGAGAGATCATATCTCTCCTATCCTGGCTTCTCTTCATTGGCTTCCTGTTAAATCAAGAATAGAATTTAAAAAGATCCTTCTCACATATAAAGCCATAAATGCCCAAGCTCCATCTTATATCAGAGATCTGATTGTTCCTTATGTTCCTAACAGAGCACTTCGCTCTCAATCTGCAGGTTTACTAGTGGTTCCTAGAATTTCTAAAAGTAGAATGGGAGGCAGATCTTTTAGTTATCAGGCTCCTCTCCTGTGGAACCAACTACCAGTTTTAGTCAGTGAGGCAGACACCCTGTCTACTTTTAAGGCTAGGCTTAAAACTTTCCTTTTTGATAAAGCTTATAGTTAGAGTGGCTCAGGTTATCCTGCTATCTCTATAGTTATTCTGCTATAGGCTTAGACTCCTGGAGGACATAGGGACCCCCATTTCATCATTCTGCTTCATTCTCTCTCTGTTCTCCTATTCTGCAGAATCTGTTAGTTCAATCTCTAACGTTCTGCTCTCTCTGTTTTTTCTCAGAGTAGCTTTGCCTCGTCTGTTCCTGTTTGGCTGTGACGTCATCCTGGAAAGAAACATCAGCTGTGCTGCTTCCATCAACACCCTTGTTTATAGATGTTGGAGATCGGCCTGTTTCCAGTGTGGTCCTGTTTCTCTGACTGTGACTGGGTGGATGTGCTCTCTTCATCCTCTGGCATGGGAGCTGGCTCAGAGCTCGTCTGCCTGGCTGTGTGTTTCGTGGATGGGGCCGCCTTTTACACCTGTTTTTTGTGTCTCTGCTTCTGTCTCCTTGAAGCCTGGTTCTGCTGGAGGTTTCTTCCTGTTAAAAGGGAGTTTTTCCTCTCCACTGTTGCTACAAGCATGCTTAGTGTGAGGGATTGTATTTGAGTCAATGAGTCAATTGTATCAATTTGACTGTATGATCTGGGTGAACTGTAAAGTGCCTTGAGATGATATGTGTTGTGAATTTGGCGCTATATAAATAAACTGAATTGAATTGAATTTTTTTTCAGCTGATCAGATTTCATCAGGAGTATTATATAAATATACATACCCTGCAGCAATAATTAGATAGCCAATGGAGGAGATAAAAACCACGGATGTTAAGACTCAGAAGCTATTAACCATGCATGAAGGGTTCCACCCCAAATCCAGCACCCTGAGACTGTACATGAGCCGTAATGAAGAAGGCAGAGGACTAGTGAGTGTGAGAGCCACTGTCCTGGACGAGACATCCCAGATCCATAAATACATCAAGGACAAAGCCTCAACAGACGATGTGCTCAGCGAATCTCTCAGGCAATGGGGAACAGAGGAAAAAGGTGCTAGAGGTACAATCATGGGAGGACAAGCCCCTACATGGGATGTACCACCGACAAATAACTGAAGTGGCTGATATCAGGAAATCCTAACAATGGCTGGAGAAAGCTGGACTCAAGGACAGCACAGAGGCCCTCATCCTGGCCGCACAGGAACAGGCCCTAAACACCAGAGCAATAGAGGCTCAGATCTACCACACCAGACAAGACCCAAGGTGTAGGTTGTGCAAGGAGGCCTCTGAGACAGTCCAGCACATAACAGCAGGGTGCAAGATGCTGGCAGGGAAAGCGTACATTGAACGACATAACCAAGTTGCGGGCATAGTGTACAGGAACATCTGTGCAGAATATGGACTGGAAGCCCCTAGATAGAAGTGAGGAACACCCCCAAAGGTGGTGGAGAATAACTGAGCTAAGATCCTGTGGGACTTCCAGATCCAGATAGACAAGATGGTAATGGAGAACCAACCGGAAATTGTAGTGGTGGATAAAGAACAGAGGAAAGCCGTTGTAGTGGATGTAGCAATACCAAGTGACCACAACATCAGGAAAAAGGAGAAACTGGAGAAATACCAGGGCCTCAGAGAGGAACTGGAGAAGGCCTGGAATTTAAAGAACACAGTGGTGCCTGTGGCCATCAGGGCCCTCGGGGCAGTCACCCCCAAACTGGAGCAGTGGCTAAAACAGATCCAAGCAACAACATCAGACATCTCAGTCCAGAAATGTGCAGTACTTGGCACATCCAAGATACTGCGCAGAACCCTCAAGCTCCCAGGCCTCTGGTAGAGGACCCGAGCTCAGAGGGTGAAAGGCATGAGAAGGGTGTGCATATATAATAGTGATAAAAATTTAAAAGACATAATATATATTAATGTAGGATAGGGTATCTACTCTAACTCCATCCCTAATTTTATTATTATTATTATTATTATTAATATTATTATTATAAAAAGAAGAATAACATGTGTTTCATTTTATCCATATTCCAAATACATCTAAAAGGTTTTTTTTGGAAACCCTTATATGAAAAAAAAGAAAAAAAAGAAAAACCACACTGATTGGTTCTTGCGCCGTTTTTTTTTGTTATAACCAATCAATTTAGGACCACTAAGTCCTCTAATTCCAGGTCGAAGGTGAAATTTTGGCTCGAAATCTCATCATTAGCGCGGCAGTGTGCTGTAAGGTAAGGACGCACTTATGAGTATTTCTTCACACGAATATCGGAAAATGTTTCTTCTAAGTGTAGACGTTATCGTTATCATCATTATTAAATTCATAGTGTATGAGCTTAATGTAAGACATTTATGCGTGTAGTTGCATTTAAACTGTATGTAGCTTATTTAGAAAATAAGACAAAAAAGTTGAATGTGTTAACGTAAAATTAAAATACTATATATTAGTAAAATGGTACTCCTTTGAAAAATATAGAGTTGAATTAACGTTATGGGACAATGACTATATACAAGCATTATATGTAATGGGCATTCTGACTTATTTATTAATTTATTTGTAATTATGTTTCATTAGTTTAATTTAAAAAAAAGGAAAGTACTACAATTGCCTCGGTTTATACTTTGTTACGAAAGATTGTTAATTATGTCGCAGAGGAAGTATTTTATGGAAAATATCACGAGGGCCATGGGGGAGGGGGTTCGAGAGCTATCACGTTAACGTGATATTTTCTTGTATGAATTTGAGATGTATCTACATGTGACATAGGTGATAATCTAATGACGTTTATCAACGTTTATCACGTGCACACTATGTTTATCACGTTTATCACAAGCACACTAAGAAAAGCAGTATTGTGCTTTTCGTCCAAGATTAGTACAATACTTGAACAACAGAAGTTGTCCAAGTTTTCCTTTATGCTTAGTCAAAAACATGGAGAATTACTGATACTGCTTTGCATAGTAGTTTAACTATTAATTGTATGCACACTCTGAGCAGGTATGATATGTGTGTCATTGTAATGTTTAAATAATGGCTACACAAGTCCAGTTAATTAATTTTAAAAACAAGCATTAATCAATGTTATACTTGTCACAACTGCTATCTAACTGCAGTGCATGGAGGTAGTGTATGCGTCAACCCCTTAGTTAGTGAATAGTCTTGTCCTTAAACTATTTATGTCACGCATCTTGCTTGGAACGTTAGCTGGAGATCCGCTCCATCAAACAAAGGTGTATAGAGGATGGATGGATGGCATCCATCAGTTTTTAAAGTAGCAACCAAAATAAACAAAAGGCAAGACAGGGACAAAATACAAAACCAGATCCTGATAAAATTTATTTAAGATAACTATCTATAAGAGATATCTGTTACATTTAACAACAAATTTGAACATTTTAACAAGATAAATATCATGTTATAACCTGATAGTGCTTGAATTTTTTTCCCTCCATGATACCAATACCCATGGATAGTCTGGAATTTATGTGCTCATATAAGAATGATTTTACATCCAAAAATTCATTCTGAGCTTGACATGCTACAAAAGTGACATATGTATATTATATTCATTATGCTATAAAATATGTCTCCCTGTAAAAGTAGATGTTCTCTGCTAATTAGCCTTTTAATGTCTGTGACAGATTGCTAAAATGGCTGAACAAAGACAAGTGTGAGTAACCTATGTATAATCTGAAAAAATCTTTTTGAAGATTGTTGATAGAGTTTTAAGATGTGGTGTGTCATTTACTAAATTTACATTTGTTCTATTAACAGTCCTGAAGAAATGCAGGAATTACTGCGGCAAATGCACCGAACCACAACTCTGTTGCTTGAGAGAACTGTACAATTTCCATCTCCAGCACAAATTTCCAGCCCTGCACCTGAGAGAAGTTGCATCTCTTCTGTCCCTACTGTGTCTCTAACAACTATATCACAGATGTCGTCTGCACCACGTACAAGCAACCTACCTCTTCCATCTTGCAGCACCATGACAACTCCAAATTCTAATTTCCAACCTGCTACAAGTTCCCACTTCCAGTCTGTTCCACCTCGCCACAATTTCTATCAGCCCCGACATGACAATGTGCAGGCGCAGTTGTCGAGGTTGTTTCGGTCACAGCAAGGAGCATCAACCAGTGGTGGTCGAAAAAGGAAGCGGGAGACCCCATGGACTCATGCTTTCGTCTGTCTTCCTGAGGTCCAAACGACTGTCATGCCCACAGCTGAGGAGGCTCGCTACTACTCCGTTTGTGGTTTGGGACAAAAAAATGTGTGGTTCCCACACAACGAAGGAGACCATGCTTTTTTCTGTGAACATCTCCTCTCTGCCTTCCCCCCTCTTAGAGCTGCTGGTGGGTTTGTCCTCGCCCGTGGCAGCAGGGGAAAGGTATTGGAAGAGCTGCCAATACCACCAGAGGGATACAGCCTGAGCTATATTCGCTCAGGTTGTACAAGGGCTCCCTTATATGTTGTCCCTCTCCAACAAAGCCTTCCCTTGAGGCCCCCACCAGATGATGAGGTTAGCTTTTACCTTTTCAGAAATCTGCATGTGTGCTTTATGTTGTATGGACATTCCACCTATTATTTTTTGTTGCAATGTGTGTAGATCCAAAAAGTGATGGAAAAATGCATCATCTGCCAGTCATCAATACCACTGTGTGAATTGGCAAATCATATTGATGAGTGGTAATGACCGTTTATTTTTTTAAGAAATACATCTCATTAGATTGATCATAAGAGATAAATATGCTCCTTATGTATTAATTAAATATACATCGCTCATTAAAGTAACATTAAACTTTTCTCTTTTTCTTATTTACACAGTAAACAAGAAACATCAAGGAACAATGAGTAAGCCCCATGTCCTCATAAATACATTGAAAAAATTAACATAATACATTTTTCTTAAGTTAAAATAATCTATGTTTGTTTTTTCACAGAGAGGACATGGATGAGGAGTTAGCCATGGCTATACAACAGTCTTTACATGTAATTATTTCTTTGTCAAAAACATTATGACAAAGCACTGTTCTGTTAACCACAATACTTTTAAAAACATTTAATTCTTTTTTCTACCTTTCTACCTAACACCAGGAGATGACAACTGTGCAACAGTAAGTGTTTTATTGTGTTGACATTAGCAACAAACACAAGGGGAAAACATCTTTATGCAATCCAAGTTTTTTTTTTTTTTTTTTGCAGGCAGGATGGAACATCTTTGGGCGTAATGACACTTGTGATAAAGTAATATGTTCAACTGAAAGCCATTACTTCTTCAATTATTATTTTCCCTTGTTCTTTTTTTGAAGTATTTTAATACTTTTTTTATTACTTGCTGTTTGAAAGTGAGCAAAGCGAGGCCCAAGAACAGAATCCCACAATTGAGGTGGAAGCTGTTGTTGCACCTGAGCCCGTTCTAAGGTAATTTTTGTAATTTAAACAATATAATTTCTCTTAGTATTACAATTTCATTTTTCTCCTTCAAATTAATAATAACCTTTTGGTGTCACAGTGTTCAAAGCCACATCTGGGAGCAAGAGGACATAAATGATGGGATAATCAGGTGAGTTTTATTCACAATTGTATTTTTTTTTAAATATGAATATATCTGGCATTGCTTAAAGTATTTTTACCCGTCAAAAATAAGGATGTGTAAGAGCATCTGTTTACACTGTGAGATGAGTAATGTCTTGTCTATTCTCAAGAACTCAAAAAATACAGTTCTGTTTTTGTTTTTTCAGGTCTCCCGATTCTGATTTAAAGACTGTCCTGGAAGACCTACAAAAAGGTGTTCAGAGTGGTTCTGCGCCGATCCACAACTCTCTTAATGTGTGCAGAGAGTTCATAATGGAAGGTTCATTTAGAGCTTTTCGCCGTACACGCTTCAACCCCCTTCATCAACTGACAGTAACATTTGTAGATGTCGAGGGAGAAAACGAGGGGGCTGTAGATGATGGTGGTCCCAGCAGAGAGTTCTTGCGGCTCCTTGTAGCAGCGCTGCGAGACAGCCGATACTTTGAAGGGCCTGAGGACAGAAAAAATCTTTCCCTTGTATCCCGGGGTATGTAACCATGTATTGAAAAGACTAAATGTTTAAACATGTAGTTATTACATGAAACAGAAACCATTTGTAGTGGCGATTGTTTGTCAAACCAAACATCCAACAAAAAAAGTTCCAATAAGCCACTTAGAGACTGGGGTCAAGTATTTCAACGCAGGTAAAGAAGGTTCAGGATACAAACTTGTAACTTGTTCTTCATGATTTATTTTGACATCTTTGCAAAAAAACAAAAATTACAGAGTTCAAACTTCCTTTTGTTTTCTCTGCTACCTCCTTGCACTGGTAAAAACCATAGGCCCCTAACCCAAATGCCTGCTGGTCCTTTACCAGGCCCCTACATTTATAGAAAGTGGACCAACCCACATTACTTCCTGTTTATTAAAAAAATATCAATAAGAAAAAAAATAAAAACAAAAGATAAATAAAATAAACAATTATTAACTTACAAATAAGTTCTGTAAATAATAAAAAAATTAGAAATTTAAGAATAAACTAATAAAATTCAAATGGATAAAAAAAAATAATAAATAGCTCCAACACCATTATTTCCTTTCTTCAATGAGCATTACTTCTGTAATTGGAGGTTATTATTATTAACTTTGTCTTTATGTTGCAGGTCTACAGTTTGGGGATTATAAAATAATAGGGCAAATGCTATCCTTAGCCCTTCTCCAAGGAGGAGTACAGCCCTCTTTTTTCTCGACAAGACTGTATTCCCTGTTGTGTGGGCAACAAACAGGCCCAGTCTCTTTGGAAGAAGTTGGTGACTGGGAACTGCGCCAGCACCTTGAGAAAGTAGGTAGCACAATTATTTTTCTGGACATTTATTTTGTCAAACATGCTCTCATATTATTGTTATCATTGTCACAGATCAAAGCTGCAGAAAACTTGGAGGAAGCCCAGCAGGCTGTTGAGGAAGCCTCGCCATTACTGTGTCCCCTGGGTTGTGCAGGGTTTCTTCCTGACTTGGAGAGCCAGCATACTCTCGTAGAGCAGGCAGCAAGGGCCCATGTTGAAGGTCGCATTAAACCTGCACTGGACCAGTAAGTTAAATCATATTTACTGATTGTAGCAGGTACACTGTTAACAAAAAAAATGGCTCGGTCTTCAATATGATTTGCCAAGAGTTCACAGGTGTTATTTTGGAAGATGTTTACATTATATCCTCAGCTGCTGCTGACAGTGCATGTAATGCAAACAGTTACACTTATGCTAAGATCCAGACACAACACACAATTTTTTTGTGGCAATATCTGATCGTTTTAATCATGCTTCACTCTCTTAAACAACAACAATGTTTCAGTGGTTGTCAGATGAGAAAACAAGACATTGGATTTGTCTCAAAGACCTGATTTGTGTAAATGACATCACAACCCTGTTCCTCTATGCTCAGAATATAAACCCCTTGTTCAGAGACTATCTGCCATTAAAAGGACTTTTAGGAAATAGTCACAGGAAATCAAAAAAGACCTAAAGAAGGGGTCCCCAAACTACGGCCCGCGGGCCGGATCCGGCCCGCCTCCACATTTTGTCCGGCCGCTTGAACAATACCAGAGAGCATTATGATTTTTTTTTTCATATATTGTATTTTCTGGCTTATGTGTGGACTTTTTTTCAACCACCAGGGGGCTCTTTAGCAGGAAGAGTGTCCTGTAAACTGATGGTGTTTTGTTTTGCATGGCGCACTGCTCCCATCTGTTGGACTTTTAGGGAACTGCTTGACTTTTATGTTATCTAATCAGTACGGTTGTTCTTCAAAGCAATGCCTGTAAGTAGCCGCTTATACTTCAAAACGAGTCTTTATGTCAACATATGAGGAATTCAGATGTTAAAGTTACTTTCTCTCAATGGGATATATACTAGTCAGTCCCAGTGACTGTTTCACTCACGTTTTTTTTTCCCATGAGCTTTCTTGTTAAAAAATAAAACGAGAAACGCGAAAAAGTTTGGGGACCACTGACCTAAAGGGTTTCTCTTCAGTATACAGATTGTTTTACTCTGCCAGCCACATTTAGATGACCGATCAGTACCATGACTGAGTGTGTGACCTCCTGCATAAACTTCTGTGTGGATAGTTCTTTCTCCACTAGAAGAGTGAGATGCTTCCTGAATGCCACATCCTTAATTACCAATGACTTAAAGATAAGTCCAAAAAACAGAGCCTTTAGGGACAAGACACTTATTGTCTTTGGGTCACTTCCTGAATACTTACATTTCATATCACTGTTAATCTTTAATATCTGAGACCTGATCCTGTCAATTGTGATGTTGATTTTGGATTGCATGATCATTTTGCAGTGAATCAGGGGTATATTCATTTTGCAGTGAACAATGTAGCAGTTTATGCGGGGTTATCTGCCTGAAGTGCTGTTTAAATTAGGGTTGAACTGTATCGGGTTGACAACAAATGGATAAAGTTAAAGGGAAACCCTCTTATTGGTTTAACAATAAAAATAGTTAAATAAATTAATTCTAGTTGTTGTGTATTTCCCTTCGGCTGGACAGAGTCGTAACAAATGGCATTATACAATTTTTTCTTTTTTTGTTGTACTCTTCTCTGACAGGCTCGTAGAGGGACTGGATTGCCTGAAGGTGGCAGAGGCAATGAGGAACCATCCTGAGATCCTTCGCCCTATCTTTGTCTCTGGACACAACCAGCTCACCGTCCAGAACATGATTAGTCTTTTTGACACCGTCTTCTCCCCACCTGGCAGCAATGCCCGACGAGCTGAAAATCGGACACTAATGTTTTGGAGGGACTGGCTTATTGAAGTAGGCGGTATGTACGTTTGTAATGCACAAGATTACTAGGTAATATTTACAAAGGTTTGACAAAAGTAATAAACTGTTATATTGTTGTTTTTCCTTTAGATGGTTCACGGCCAATCAGCCTACAAAATATCCTGATTTTTGTGTCTGGAGTGGACCAAATTCCTCCACTGGGCTTCCCAGAGAGGCCTCAGATTGAGTTTCTTCATGCCCCACTTCAAAATGGATCCCGCCGGCGCTATCCTGAGGCCAACACATGCAGTGTTGTCATGAGACTTCCAATTCATGAAACATTTGAAGAGTTTCAGGAGTACATGGAGTCTGGAATTATTCAATCACCAACTTTTGGTTTTGTTTAATTGTCTTTTTTGGGGTTGTTTTCTGTTTTGCTATTAGCATTAGCAAGTTCAATGTGTTAGGAATACCGTTTTTTTTAAATATGTTAAAACTATGTTATAGTTCGTTAGATTGTAAAATGTTTTTGTTTGTACATTTTGGATCACTTCAAACTGCATTTTGGGCAGGTATTGATGAAAGAATTATGTTAAAACTGTTATAATCAGATTGTAAAATGTTTTTGTTGTCTGACTTTTTTGTTAACTTAAAACTGCATTTTTGGCACTTTTTTTTGTTGAACAAAGGTCTTTATGAAAGTATGTTTCAATTATGTTTGTTAATCAGATTGTGTTCACAATATAAAACATGTTCTTCATAAAAGTTGTTGTTATCGAGGCCTTTAATGAGAGATGAGGACAAAATATACTCAACATCACAGTTTTCAATAGAATAAGTGAATTGTTGACTGTTGACTCTAACCTTCTGCTCTCTCTGCTTTTCCTCAGAGTAGCTTTGCCTCGTCTGTTCCTGTTTGGCTGTGACGTCATCCTGGAAAGAAACATCAGCTGTGCTGCTTCCATCAACACCCTTGTTTATAGATGTTGGAGATCGGCCTGTTTTCCAGTGTGGTCCTGTTTCTCTGACTGTGACTGAGTGGATGTGCTCTCTTCGTCCTCTGGAATGGGAGCTGGCTCGGAGCTCGTCTGCCTGGCTGTGTGTTTCCTGGATGGGGCCTCCTTTTACAGCTGCTTTTTGTGTCTCTGCTTCTGTCTCCTTGAACCCCAGTCGGCCTCGGCAGATGGCCGCTCACACTGAGCCTGGTTCTGCTGGAGGTTTCTTCCTGTTAAAAGGGAGTTTTTCCTCTCCACTGTCGCTACAAGCATGCTTAGTGTGAGGGATTGTATTTGAGTCAATGAGTCAATGCAATCAACTGGTTTTCCTTAGACAGAAAACTTTGTATCAATTTGACTATATGATCTGGTTGAACTGTAAAGTGCCTTGAGATGACATGTGTTGTGAATTTGGCGCTATATAAATAAACTGAATTGAATTGAATTGAATTGGAGGAGGAATATTTTTTGCTCAATTTATGTAAAGAGCACATGAGTTTTATAGTTTTCATTTTGGCTGTACAGATAACGGTACTCGCTGAACATATATATCTGGGGTTTTAAAGAAGATTCCAAGGAATTTCAATTTGCACAGACTTATTATTATTATTAATATTATTATTCTAATGCCAGAATTAATAATAAACAATAAAGACTTTGTGGCATTTTGACTTAGTAATATAATTACATTACTTGTGTTACCACCACCACGCCACTAGAGGCAGTAGAAGGCCCAAAAAGATGTGACCTAGTTGCAGATTTAGAAGAATGCCGGAAACTACAGAATTTGCTTAAAAACTGTGAGCTGCGCTGAAGAAAATAAGAGAGAGGAGTTAAAAAACATACAAAGGGTGAAAATCATTCTTAAAATGAAATGAAGATGTGTCGCAGATTAAAAAATACAATAAAATCCGGCCGCGGATCTATGGGAAATAGCGCTCCCTTCAGGGGGCCAGGATCCCTCGACCTTCTTAGCTGCCCTGACTAATGCCTAAAGAAAATACGAGGTAGAAATCTAAGCATTTTGAAAAAAGTATTTATTGAAACCACTGATATTGAAAGACCAACATTTTTGTAATATCTAGTGAAAAAATTGATCATACATGTCCTACTTCAAGACTTTTTAATGGCGAAGAGAACAGGCAATAGCCACACGGACCAACGACAAGGACCAACGACAAGGACCAACGACATGAACCAACAGCATGGACCAACAACATCAACCACATATGCAGCGAACGCATGTGCAACGTAGACATATGCAGCGAACGCATGTGCAACGTAGACATATGCAGCGAACGCATATGCAACATACACATATGCAACATCTACATATACATGCAACATAGACCAACGACATAGACCAACGACACATAGCAACGACACATCTGCACATATGACTTCTTTTTATTTTTGATACAAATGGAACCCCATATTATATCCAGGTCTGGGACGGATTTTAGCAGGGGCTTACCGGGGCTGCAGCCCGGGGCCCCGGCATTCCCGTAGGATTTATATTTTTGTGAATGGATAGCGTTAGAATTTACCGTATTTTCACGACTATAAGCGCACATAAACGTCTTTTTATCCCTTGAAATGTGCGATGCTCCCTTTGGTAAGGAGACCAGGTGGGGGTTTTTTCCACTCATCAACATCGCTGTTGATGCAGAAGCAGCGAGTTTACATGCAAAGTCAGCTCCTCTTTTTATACAGGCTCATGCGTGAATGTCCAACGAATAACTCCAATTGTTGTTTCAAAAATAGAAAACCTGGTTACATTCTAACTTTCATTACTTTATAAAAAAAACTGTTGATGCAGAGGCAGCGAGTTCTGCGGTTCTAATCTGATTGTTTGCCTCCCATCAGCGCCAGGTTATTTGTGTGTTTTGGTGAGACGTTTCCTAGCTTTCTTTAGTCTGTCTGCTTCCCTGATTATGACCAGTTTTTTGTCCTGTGGATCAGCAGTCAACTGAAAAGCAGGTTTATTGGGGATCTTGGTGTGATATTGTTCAATTTTATTAATTTTATTTTTAAACTCGCTGCTTCTGCGGTAAGCCCCTGCTAAAATCCGTCCCAGACCTGGATATACGGTATAGATATTGCTTATATATTGCCACAGTGTTTAGATATTTTTATAATTCTATTTACCCTTATATGTGTCATCTTGCACGATTGTACCATAAAAAAATCCCTAGTTTGTGAACTCCTTCTCTGACAATGTCAATAAACCTGATTCTGTTCCTGAAAAAACTGATGTGAAACATTTTGTTTCTATAATTTCTATTTCTATATTTCAGATTAGATTTTAAAACAACACAAAGTGGGAAAAGAGCATGAGAGAAAATGTGTTTATTGTGATGAATACTGAACAGGTTTACATTGAGAGTCGTTGGGATGATTTGCGTGTTGTACGGAGAAATTCGTTGATCTTATCAATGCAGTCCTTCAAGTCACTCTTCCCCATATCAGGAAACTTTCGCTGCAGTGTTGAAACCACAAAGTTGAGCTGTGAGGGGGAGGGGGTCTCTGTAAATGGTGGTGGTTGTATTCTATTGTCAGAGAACAAGAGAGTAAGTTGTCTGCAAAGTACCGCGTCAACTCTGAATAACCTGCTAAAGCCATTTGTCGTTATTTTTTGCACTGATTAGGCGGGGGTCCTGAGGGGTAGGGGGTCTCACAAACATAAGTTGTTCATGAATGCAGGCAGACCATATTTCTGGTTTTCGTCAAACCCCATTTCCATTTCTTTCGTTTTTAAAATTAAATAAAAAAATTAAATGGCAAAAATCCAAACGTGTCTGCTAGTTTAAAGTCCATCTTATTTATTTGAATATTTAACGAAAACATTGCAGATGCTTCACACGCACACAAAATGACAGAATGATCCGAGCGTTTTAGTTTCTATATATATATAATACCTTTCAAAACCTATGAGTGTTTTTAAAATCTAGTGATTTTTTGAAAGAAAATAAAAGAATAAAAATAGTTAAGCATTTTAAAAGGAATTTAAAAAAAAAGGAACATAACAGCATTTTTTAAATAAATGATTTATTATGAGAACATATCATTTCACCATTTATTGGGGGTAATTAATTGAATGCTTATTTATTTATTGAACATGTGTATATTTATTTATTTATTTAGATTGGAGTAGATGTGATTAGATGAGCTTTATTGATCTCACAGCGGAGAAATTAACTCGTCACATATTGGCATAGAAGTTACTGGAGGTGCAAACAGGAAGGAAAAAGGTGCTTTAAGATGCTTTATAAAAAAAAAAAAAAAAAAAAGAAACATTTAAGGCAACTCGGCCACAGTTGGGACTGAACCCACAAGCTGTTAGTCTACACACCACTCAGCTTAACCACTGCGCTATAAGTTCGCCACACGTGACATACCTCCCAGTCTGCTACTTGACCAGACTGGGAGGGGTGTCACGTATTGCACGGCAAGAAAGTAACACACAAAAACAAAGCTTTCAACGGCACTTATATTTTACAAAACTAAAGAAAATATATTTTCTTACATACCCTTTTGAATAACTTTGGCTTATCTTAATGAGGAATCAACTTTGGATATGATTTTAATTTCAACATCACCAGCCGCAGCACTGTCTCTGTCGCCTTTCTCTGGTTGCGCTACAGTCCGTATCCCCGGCTCCAACTTAATTAATTTTATTTTTCATTAAATAATAGCGATGCAGATAAATAGAAATAACAGTTCTCAGATAAGATCGGAGGTGTATCTATAACTACTATCAATCTATCTATAAATATTTTCATGAAATAAGATTATGCAGTCCCAATGTTAAATTAATTCATTAACTTTATTTTAATCAAAAACAAAATAAAATAGAACAATATCACACCAAGATCCCCAATAAACCTGCTTTTCAGTTGACTGCAGGCCCACAAACGTACAGACACGGTGTCTCTGACTAAAGGAGCTGGTCAGCTCCTCTTTTTATACAGGCTCATGCGTGAATGTCCAACGAATAACTCCAATTGTTGTTTCAAAAATATAAAACCTGGTTTCATTACTTTACATTCTAACTTTCATTACTTTATAAAAAAAAAGCGATAATAATTATAATTAAAAAAAAACTAAAAACAATTAAGGCAACTCGGCCACAGCTGGGATTGAACCCAGAGTCTATTGAACCAAAGACCACTCAGCTTAAAGGAGAAGTTCGGTTTTTTACACTTTAAGCCCATTTTCTGTAGTGTCCAGGATGAAATCGAATGAAGGACACCAAAATTTTGACAATTGGTCCTGTCTCTGCTTTTTGGCTCATTTAGAATCAACCCCTGGCTGCTTTAGAATGGCTAGCATAGAGCATGTCCGATAATGTCCTTAAAACAACCTTAAACGTTCTTTTTTTAAAATATGCTACGCACCGTGTCGTCAGCGCTGTTCAATGACGTTCCAAAAAAAGTTTCGTGAAGAAAAACCGTTCCTGTAGTGTTTTATTTAGCATTTTGTAAATCCCATTGAGTTCTGTAGGAATAGTCAATATTCCGCTGCCACCGGAAACGGAAATGGGGCCTGTTTACACAGTTGTAGTCTTTTCGCTTCACTCTGTGTACTCCGACGTCGAGAATCAAGAATCCACCTTTCGTATTCCATTTTCAGAGTTTTTTAAAGTGTTTAACAGAGACGTTAGCA